GATCACTTGCAGTCACGAGTTTGAGACCAGCCTGGCCAACATGGTGAAACCCTGTCTCTACTGAAAATACAAGTATTAGCCAGACATGGTGGCGGGCACCTGTAATCCCAACTACTTGGGAGACTAAGACAGAAGAAGTGCTTGAACTCGGGAGGTGGAGGTTGCAGTGAGCCAGGATTGCACCACTGCACTCCAGCCTGGGCACCAAGATTAAAACTCCATTTCAAAAAAATTAAAAAGACCGGCTGCAGTGGTTCACACTTTGGGAGCCTGAGGTGGGTGGGTCATGAGGTCAGGAGTTCAAGACCAGCTTGGCCAACATGGTAAAACCCCATCTCTATTAAAAATATAAAAAATAGCCAAGCGTGGTGGTGAGCCCCTGTAATCCCAGCTACTCAAGAGGCTGAGGCAGGAGAATCAGTTGAACCCAGGAGGTGCAGGTTGCAGTGAACCGAGATCGCACCACTGCACTCCAACTTGGGAGAAAAGAGCAAGACTCCGTCTGAAAAAAAAAAGTTTTTTAGAGATGGGGTCTCACTCTGTCACCCAGGCTGGAGTGCATTAGCACATTCATAGCTCACTGCAGCCTTAAACTCCCGGATTAAGACAATCCTCCTGCCTCAGTCTCCCAAGTAGTTTGGACTACAGGCGTGCACCACCATGTCCAGCTAATTTTTGTACTTTTTGTAGAGATGGGGTCTCACTGTGTTGCCCAGGCTGGTCTCAATCCTCCTGCCTCCAGCCTCCAGCCTCCCAAAGTGCTGGGATTACAGGCATGAGCCACTGTGCCCAGACGTTAATATTTTGAATTTTAATATTCAATTTAATATTTGAATTTCAATATTTTGAATAGAAAATACATTCGCATGGTTCAAAAACCTTAAAAATGTTGACAGGCAGCCGGGCGCGGTGGCTCACACCTATAATCCCAGCACTTTGGGAGGCCGAGGTAGGGGGATTGCATGAGGTCAGGAGTTCGAAACCAGCCTGGCCAACATAGTGAAACCCCGTATCTACTAAAAATACAAAAACTAGCCAGGTATGGTGGCAGGTACCTGTAATCCCAGCTACTCTGGAGGTTGAGGCAGGAGAATCACTTGAACCCAGAAGGCAGAGGTTGCAGTGAGCCGAGATTGCGCCACCACCCTCCAGTCTGGGTGACAGAGCAAGACTCCATCTCAAAAACAAAACCAAAAATGTTGATATACAAAGTTATACAGTGAGGAGTCTTTCTCCTGCCCTGTCTCCAACCACACAGGGACCCCACTTTCCTTATCCTCCAGCTCTTCCCAGACTCCGAAGCAGCCTGTGTCCTTCCAGTGTCTTTATGCAAACACCAGAAGGAATACATTCCAGCATTTCTGCCTTTTCTACACCAGAAACAGCGCACCATGCACCCTGCTGTGTGCTTGCTGTCTCCACTACTAATATGTCTACAGACAGGGGTGCTCATTCCTTTTTACACTGCATGTTACTCTGCTGTATAGACAGACCTCAGTACTCCCCTGCTGATGGCTATCTGAGCTGCTTCCAGGCTTTTGCTATTTAAAAGGCACTTCCGGGAATGACCTTGTACTTGCATCATTTCTCACGCACGAGACAGGGCAAGTTCCCAGAAGTGGAACCACTAGTAGATAATGTCAAATGTATCTTCCACAAGCAATGTGGCAGGATCTGTTTCCACAAACTCTCACAGAGAATGTGTTCTCATACTTCCGGATTTGGGCCAATTTTGTCAAATTGATGAAACACAGCAGCTTGGTATAGTTTTAATTTGCATTTCTCAGGCCAGGCGTGATGGCTTACGCCTGTGATCCCAGCAGCTTGGGAGGCCAAGGTGGGTGGATCACTTGAAGCCAGGAGTTCGGGACCAGCCTGGCCGTCGGTACAAAACCCCATCTCTACTAAAAATACAGAACTCAGCCAGGCGTGGTGGCACCCACCTGTAGTCCCAGCTACTCAGGAGGCTGAGGCATGAGAGTCATTTGAACCCAGGAGGCAGAGGCTGCAGTGAGCCAAGATGGTTCGCACTTCTCTTACTTGAGTAAGGCTGAGCGTCTCTCATTCTTCCTTTCCCGTGAACCGTTTCTGTCCTTGCTCACATTGCTATTGGGCTGCTTGTTTGTTGTCTTTGCTTTCCAGATTTTGAGTCATGGATGTAAAGTCCTCCTCTCCAAGATTTCAAAGGAAATCTCCCTTGCTTTCATTTGCACTTGTATGTCTCACTTTTTACATTTGTATTTCTTTAAAACACAAAAATCAGGCCAGGCGCTGTGGCTCACGCCTGTAATCCCAACACTTTGGGATGCTGAGGCTGGTGGATCACAAGGTCAGATCGAGCACATCTTGGCCAACATTACGAAACCCCATCTCAACAAAAAATATGAAAATTAGCTGGGCATGGTGGCATGCACCTATAGTCCCAGCTACTGGGGAGGCTGAGGCAGAAAAAATCGCTTGAACCTGGGAGGTGAAGGTTGCAGTGAGCTGAGATCGCACCACTGCAGCCTGGGCAACAAGAGTGAAACTCTGTCTCAAAAAATAAATAAATAAATAAAAAACAGACCATGTGATATGCCTAACTAAAGTCTTCACTGACTTCCTGCCACTCAGGATAAAGTCCGGACACCCCTCAGTACCCCTCAAGTTCCTGCCTGGTATAGCCACTCCCCACCCCCCACACTCCTCCTGGGCACACGGGACTCTTTAGCCCCTCCAACTCGCCAAGGGCGCTTTTCCTCAGGCCTTTGCAGCTACCATCCTTCTGCCTGGAATGTGCTTCCTCCACCTCCTCCCACAGACGGTTCCCACTTATCCCTCCAGAACCATCCGGTGCCTTCTCCTCAGAGCTGCCCCACCCCCTCCCTAGCACAGACCACCCTTGCCCATCACGATCTCAGTGCCCTCCCGTCTTCACACCCCTTACTTAGGCTCACCTGTGATGATGCGCTTTACCTGTGTGCCTGCAGCTTTCCTGTGCCTCTCCCCTCCACATGCCAGCCTCAGGAGGCCTTGCCTGCCCCAGTCACAGCACTGAGCTCTGGCCTCCTGCTCCCCGAATGAGACCCACTTCACCCCAAATCACTGCCCAGAGCCCTCTGCTGGATTCCCATCAGTGCCAACCACAGGATGCTCTCATCTGTGACGGAGCCAGTCTAAAGCTTTAGGTAATGGAGAATAAGGTCAGGAATGCATTTAACTCTGACCTTCAGCCAACACTGAGGGCAGACCCATGACCAGGGGAGTGTCCTAGGTCTAGACTGCCCTTCACACTTGCTCCTGGAAGCCAAGTCTCCCTGTTCCCAGTTCCCTGCCTCCCAAACATCTCTGGCTGCGCTATGCAGGACTGTTTGGGTCCCTATTATCTCAGCAGCTCCCAGACATACAGATTGGTAGGACAGGGTCTCTAAGCAGGACCAAGAGGCTCGCTTAATTACCATCTACAGGTAGGTATATTGAGTCCCAGTGACATCAAGCCACCAAACCACAGTGCCCCAGCTAATGACTCTGGGAGGCCAAGTCCTGGCAATTAGCCCTTCCCAACTCTACAAAAAATACAAAGATATTAGCTGGGCATGCTGGTGCACACCTGTAGTCCCAGCTACTTAGGAGGCTGAGGTGGGAGGATCTGTTGAGCCCTTGAGGTGGAGGTTGCAGTGAGCTGAGATTGAACCACTGCACTCCAGCCTGGGCAACAAAGTAAGATCCTGCCTCAAAAAAAAAAAAAAAAATTAGGCCAGGCACAGTGGCTCATGCCTGCAATCCTGGCACTTTATGAGGCTGAGGCAGGAGGACTGCTTGAGCCAAGGAGTTTAAGACCACCCTGGCAATATAATGAGACCTTGTCTCCAAAAAAAATGATGAAAAGTGTCCCTCATGGTCAAGTCTTGGTGGGCGTGATGTTCTTTTCCTCCTCCTCTCACCTAAGCCAATGCAGTCCAATAGAATTATAATGAGAGCCACAAAGGTAATGTAAAGCTTTCTAATAAGCACATTAACAAAAGTTAAAAAAAAAAGGTAGAATTTCAAATATTTAAACCTAAAACAGTATATTAAAAATATTATCAGCCAGCCACGTGGCTCACACCTATAATCCCAGCACTTTGGGAGGCGGAGGCAGGCAGATCACCTGAGGTCAGGGGTTCCGGACCAGCCTGGCCAACATGGAGAAACCCCATCTCTACAAAAATACAAAAATTAGCCAGGCATGATGGCGTGTGCCTGTAACCCCAGCTATTCAAACGCTTGAGGCGGAGGTTGCAGTGAGCGGAGATCGTGCCATTGCACTCCAGCCCGGGCAACAGAGCAAGACTATCTCAACAAAACAAAACAAAGCAAACAAAAAATATATTGTCATTTCAACATGCCAACAACATGAAACCGTTTTCATGTTATTTTACATTTTTCTCACTAAGTCTTGTGTTTTGGGGGGTTTTGTTTGGAGACAGTCTTACTGCAGCCTTGACTTCCTGGGCTCAAGCGAACCTCCTGCCTCAGCCTCCCAAGTGGCCGGGCCTACAGGCGTGCACCGCCACACCCGGCTTATTTTTACATTTTTAGCAGAGACCGGGTCTCCCTATGTTGCCCAGGGTGGTCTCCAACCCCTGGCTTCAAGCGATCCTTTCTCCTCCGCCTCTGAAAGTGTTGGAATCACAGGTGCAAGCCACCCTGCCGGCCAAGTATTGTTAATCGGTGTGCATTTTACCCTTACGGCACATCTCAACTCAGACTGGCCACATGTCAAGCGCTCAGCAGTGCATGTGCCAAGTGGCGGCCCTGTCTGACCGCGCAGCCCTAACCATCAGAGGCCTGGTGCACGCCCGGGGCAGCAGTGGGGTCCTCCCCTGCTAGCTCCGTGCGAGCACCGGGGTGGGAAGGGGAGGACTGGGCGGGGTCTGCACCAAGGCCCCGCCCCTTCCGCCCCGCCCCCTGCCGACAACCGAAGGACCTGGCTGAGCGTAGAGCCCGGCTCCCCCAGCGGCGCGCCGCGACACACTCACCTGGCCACCGCCTCCACCGAGCCGGCGATGGCCGTGCCGCCGCCCGCGCCGCTGTCGTACAGCACGCCCGAGATGTCGAGCAGCACTCCGCGCACGCCAGCGAAGAGCTCGCCCCACGGGGCCATGGCGTCCGACAGTGCTCCTCTGTTCCGCTTCCCAAGCGGCGCGGGTACCGCGGCCGCACAGGAGCGCCTGGGAAGTGTAGTCCCATGGGCGAGGCGGGGCGGGGCAGGAAGGCGGGGCGCAAACCCGGAACTGGGGCGCGGCCTGGGCACCCCGGCGCCGCGCGACCCAGAAACGGTGTCCTTTTCGGAAGTTTTCTTCCCAGGAGGTCAGCCGACAAAGAGCAAGAAAAGCAGAAAACAAGTAACTAAGAAAGGTCAAAAGCAAATTGAGACAACAAATAAGAAGGCACCTGTAGCCAGGGGTGGTGGCTCACGCCTGCCGTCCCAGGACTTTGGGAGGCAGAGGCGGACGGACCGCTGGAGCCCTGGAGTTCTAGACCAACCCGGTCAACATAGTGAGACCTTGTTCCTATTAAAGAAAAAAAGAAAAAATACAATACAAAATTGAGGTCGGGTGCAGTGGCTCACCCCTGTAATCCCACCACTCTGGGAGGCCACGGTGGGCAGATCACTTGAGGTCAGGAGTTCAATACCAGCCTGGTCAACATAGTGAAACCCCTATCTCTACTAAAAATACAAAAATCAGCTGGGAGTGGTGGCGCATGCCTGTAGTTCCAGCTACTGCGGAGGCTGAGGCGGGAGAATCACTTGAACTTGGGAGGCGAAGGTTGCCTGAGCCAGGATTGCACCACTGCCCTCCAGTCTGGGCAACAGAGCAAGACTCAGTCTCAAAAAAAAAAAAAAAAAAAAAAAAATTGTATGCAGATAACAGCCCTGGTAGATGAAGATGCATAGGAACTGGGCGGAGAAGAAAATGGGACTATCACACTGCGTTAGGCCCAGGAGATTTTTTGATAAGCTATAAAATACCCCTCAATCCTACATTATTTTTGCAATAAATACAAATTGATATTGAAAGGATGGAGTTTCCTTGATGGCCCCTTGGAACCTTTCAAATTATTAAATTGAAACAAGAACACTTTACTTCTGGTTCAATTTAGCTTTGAGCTTTCAAAGAAAAGAGGATCATATTTCACTACTTCATGTCAGGTTTGTTGTTTGTTTGTTTGTTTTTGAGATGGAGTTTCACTCTTGTTTCCCAGGCTGGAGTGCAATGGCACGATCTCAGCTGACACCGCAAACTCCGCCTACCAGGTTTAAGTGATTCTCCTGCCTCAGCCTCCCAAGTAGCTGGGATTACAAGTACGCACCACCATGCCTGGCTAATTTTGTATTTTTAGTAGAGATGGGGTTTCATCGTGTTGGCAGGCTGGTTTTGAACTCTGGACCTCAGGTGATTCACCCCCCTCAGCCTCCCAAAGTGCTGGGATTACAGGCATGAGCCACTGCGCCCGGTCCATTTCAGGCTTTTGCTTCACAGAAAAGATGAAGAATTCGTTGGATTGTAAAAATAATAATAATAATAATAATAAAGAAAAAAAGAATTCGTTGGATTGTTATAGCTTTAATCTAGTTCAACAAATTCTGCATATTTTGTTGACAGTAGGGGAGCTGTTTACAAGAGAAATAAAATATAGTTCCTACCCTTTAGGGATTTCCACTAATGGGGTTGGGGAATCGCACACCTAATGTAAGCTTTCTTAGTCACAGATAATAGAAACCACTCCACCTAGAGGGGTTATGTTGACATGGGGCAGGAAGGAGCTTACAGATTTCCTGGGAGACTGGTCTAGGAACTACAGAGCCAGGAGCCATGCAGCTATGAGAAACACCTGATTTTACTGCTCCATTGAGATCACTGCCTCCATCACTTACTGCAGCCCTCAGCACAGCTATCCCCAAATGAACAGAACATATCCACCACTATGCAATCCGAAGTTTCTCTTTCTCCACCTGTGGCCACCCACTCACTTTCACTGTGTCTAGCTTGGTGGAACCTAGCCCACATTGCAAGGGATTCTGGGAAATGCAGTTTTTAGTCTTCCAGGGGCTGAGTGAGTCAATTTGGAGAATCCACCAGGACTGTCATGAACCACACATGTATTGAGACCCTATTCTGTGCAGTGGGCACTAGGGATGCAATAAGTTCTAAGGTGTGATCCCGGCTTTCCAGGATCAAGACTGGGCAGAAAGCAATGGACCTTCATGATTGCTGACCAAATGTGTGCCGAGTGGCAATGAGTGACATAGACACAGTCAAGAGGATGACCTCTGCAGGCCTTGGAGGGCAGCAGTGGCTTCTTGGTAGGGGGCAGTCTGAAATGGACCTTGGAGAATGGCTGGGCTTTAGCTTCATGCCAAGGAGGAGGAAAAAGGGTGCTTCTGCCAGTGGTGTGAGCCTACCCATAGTTCTTTCTTTTCTGCCAGCTCTGTGGGTACTCTTGGGAAAGTCACTTTTCATCTCTAGGACTAGGGTAGACAGAATAATACCCCCTTGAGATGTCCACATCCTAATCCCCACGACCTCTAAATATATGACCTTCCATGGCAAAAGGGACTTAGATCTTGCAGAGCCTAAGCTCCTATAGGGAAATTATCCTGGATGGCCCAGGTGGGCCCCGTGTAATGACATGAGTCCTCATAATGAGGAAGCAGGAGAGAGTCAACAGTCGGAGAAGGAGGTGTGACAGCAGAAGCAGAGGTCAGAGAGAGAGATGTGAATATACTACACTGCTGCCCTTGAATATGACGGAGCCATGAGCCAAGAAATGCAGGTGGCCTCTGGAAGCTAGAAAAGGCAAATAAATGAATCCCCCCTAGATCCTCCAGAAGGAATGCAGCCCTGCTGGGACTTCAGTTTTAGGATTTCTTACCTCCAGAACTGTAAGATAATAAATCTGTGGTTTTAAGACACTAAGTGTATGGTAATTTCTTGCAGTAGTGACAAGAAACAAATACAGGGATCCAGGTCCCTCACCTGAAAAATGACAAGTTGGTCCAAGGTGACAAGTCTCTAAGTGTGGGCCACTGATAGGCTAAAACCTGATCTGAAAGTTCCAGGCCTTTCTTGGGATGCAATGAGTGTGGGACATTGTCTATGTTAGGGTTGCGTTTGGCTGCACAGAACAGAAACCCAACCATAGTTGCTCAACCAAATAGAATTGCTTTTCCTCATATATCAAGAAGCCAAGAGGAAGGCAACCCTGGATGGGATAACAGCTCCCAGGACTGTCAGGCAGCAGGCTACCCCCTGCTTTCTGCTCCACCACCCTCTGGCCTGTGGCCTTCCCTTAATGCTAGCAAGATTCCTGCTGCATGCGAGGCATCACGACTGCATTTCAGGCAGGAAGGAGGGGAAAGAAAACAAAAAAGGGCACGTGGCAGCTGAGTCTTACCCTTTATACCTGGAAAGCAAAAGCTTCCGCAGAACCCTGATTCAATGGACTCTCCTTCACATCTTTTGGGCCAGAGCTAGTCAGGTGGCGCACAAACACCACGGTGTGCCAGGAAGCATACACCACTGACTGAGCTTTCGGCCTGTTACGTTTCCAGTAACAAATCTACAACCCATGTCTGAATTTCAGCTCAACTATGAATCCATCAATCATCTATTGCTGTACTAGACATATGCCTCATCCTTTCAGATTTGCTTGTTGTAGTCAGGACTCTTCGGTTGCCAGCGACAGAAGCCAAATTTCAAATGGCTTAAATTTAAAAGGGAAGTATTGGCTCACACAATCAGATAGTCTAGCAATTGACAGCTTCAGGCTTGGCTGGTTATCAGCTCTGGGCTCACAGAGTCTCTGGTACACCACCTGCTGAAGATCCTTTTGCTGAACTTGGTCTGGTTGTTCCAGAAAGAACTCTGAGTGGCTGTCTTGGGACAGTGTCCCCCAGTGTCTGTGTTCCAGTGGAAGTGATACTGTTACAAGACACCCACCCTGACTTGTGCCCTTACTAGGGCTGGAGGTGGGGCACTTGTGTACAGTCCCAGCATGACCACAAGGAATGGGAGAGGAAAAGCCCCCCCAGCAAAAAGCAGAGTACATTAGCCAGGCACACTAGCACATACCTGTAGTCCCAGCTACTCTGGAGGCCGAGGCAAGTAGATCACTTGAACCCAGGAGTGGGAGGCTACAGTGTACATGACTGCAACTGCACCTGTGAATGGCCACTGCACCGTAGCCTAGGCAATATAGCAAGCAAGAAAGAAAGAAATAAAGAAGAAAGGAAGGTGAAAGAAGAAAGAAAAAGAAATAAAGAGAAAGGAAGGAAGGAAAGAGAGAGAAACGAGAGAGAAAGGAAGGATGAAAAAGAAAAAAGAAAGAAAGAGAAAGAAAGAAAGAAAAGAAAGAAAGGCAGCGGGGCACTGTGAAAGGGGAATGAGGAAACAACCTGGTACAGGCAAAAGTGGCAGGTGCCCGCCAGTCACAGAGACCCTTCTCATGATCAAAGTCCACCTCCCTGGAAAGTGAGACCAGACCAAGTGAGGCCCATATGAGCCAAAGAATCTTCTGTTTTATTGAGCTGGGCTATAGTGAAAAAAAAAAAAAAATTGGAGGACCATTGATGTGGAAATACTTCTCAGGCCAGGCGCAGTGGCTCACACCTGTAATCCCAGCACTTTGGAAGGCCAAGGTGGGCAGATTACTTGAGGTCAGGAGTTCGAGACCAGTCAACACAGTGAAACACCGTCTCTACTAAAAACGCAAAAATTAGCCGGGTGCGGTGGCTCACGCCTGTAATCCCAGCACTTTGGGAGGCCGAGGCGGGTGGATCACGAGGTCAAGAGATCGAGACCATCCTGGTCAACATGGTGAAACCCCGTCTCTACTAAAAATACAAAAAATTAGCTGGGCATGGTGGCACGTGCCTGTAATCCCAGCTACTCAGGAGGCCGAGGCAGGAGAATTGCCTGAACCCAGGATGCGGAGGTTGCGGTGAGCCGAGATTGTGCCATTGCACTCCAGCCTGGGTAACAAGAGCAAAACTCTGTCTCAAAAAAAAAAAAAAATACAAAAATTAGCCAGGCATGGTGGTGCAAGCCTATTGTCCAAGCTACTTGGGAGGCTGAGGCAGGAGAATCACTTGAACCCGAGAGCTGGAGGTTGCAGTGAGCCAAGATCGTGCCACTGCACTCCAGCCTGGGGAGAGACTCCATCTCAAAAAAAAATAAA